GATAAGAGTAACCCCAGAACTGTGGGGTCCGACGTCTGCTCCTCTCCCAGGAACCCCACAGAAAAAGAGCCTTTTTTGCCATAGGCTATGCATGACGTTTAACAGGGCATGATCAGCAATTCCATTCGAGTTGTGTACAAAAGAAATATTGCTTCGTTTCCCCCGGGAGTTTTGTGTAAGATAGCTTACATACCTTTGTTTTAAGTGCCAAGAAAGAAAAGGACCAAAACCATGTTGTTTTCCAAAAAAAGGTGCAAATATTTCCTGACCAGTGTCTGAGAGTCATGCAGTTCACATGTGTACTTTCAAAGACGAGCGGTGACCAAATCATTGCCTACGGTTGCCATCGATATTACTTTACGATACTACTTTACAAGACATGGAAAGTGGCTACAGCCACTTTCCGTACATGTGTGTGCAATTCTTAGCCACGCTGGTTGAAATGGCAGTTGGCTGTGGCACGCTGGGGAAGGCCTTGCACTTCTTTTCCTGGCTAGCCCATTCGGATAGTTAAATGGATATTTTATTAGCCTGATTAGAGTTTTACTAGCCCATATATAAATTTTATTACCAGCTTACCAATAAAGAATTTGACTTTTCAGAAAATAAAAGGCTGATGGTATAAAATAAAGAGCCAGGTATGTTAGTTAAAAGTCACTTGAGTCACTGGTCATGGAGTTGGGATCAAAATCATCTCTTTGCTCCGTCTTCCGTCTCATTTGGGTTGCTTACGTTTGGCAAAAATTGCCACTTTTGGTGTACTTTCTGACCTCCGCACATGCGCAGTGAACACGAAAAAACTTTTTCCAATCACAAGAGGGTGCTGTATCAAAATGCTTTCAAGGACTCCTGCAATGCCCAGTATAGCTAGCTGTGGCCAGTTAAGGTCAGAAAAATATATAAGGCCAAATAAATACTTCTGGTTTTGACCCCAATTTTTCAGCGCGACCCTAAAATTTGTATCGGCAAGTTAGAAAAACAAATTTAAAAAATAAGAATAAATAAATGCCGATGTCTTTTCTGTCTTCACCTTTCAACAACCCTTTCTCATGTTAAAACGCTTGTTTTCCTATGTTTTCCTACTTACATTTGCAAATTTTGAAAAAAAACTTTTGTTATTATCACGAGTTCCACTCGTGTTTTGCTGTCGAGGTGGTGAAAACGTGCGCAAAGCTCAATGCATGAAAGAAAAGCTGCGCTGGTTCCAACCACGCAAATACAAAAGAATGCGTGATGGAAATGTGCTAACCAGTCTTTACGTCCCGCTCAATTAAATTACATCAGTGTCGCACACGCATGCAACCATACAGCTGCATGTCAAAAAAAACATCGATGTTGCAAGAGGATTTCTGCAAGTTAATTCTCAGAACTTGGTTTCTTGTTTATGTATTTATTTTCTGTGCTCATGAGTTCCTGCCATGGCAAGTGGTTTCTCGCCCGCCCATATGGATGTATCATGGATGCCCACGCGACACATGGACATTGCTGGCCAGTTTGCCGTCGTGATAACCTGACTAGCATTGAGTAATTTGTCCATAATTCTTGTGAATTTGTTAACTGCAGAAATTTTTACATACATGTAAATTAAGACATGTTTTATCACTGTTTGAGACAATTTTTGGAAGTTTTCATCCTCATATATGCTATTACATCAGCACAAAAAATTGACCTAACAAAATTTCCGACCTACCGATACTATTTTTGAGAGGCATGTAATCGGAAGCAGAAGCGGCATAACCAGTGAACGAGAATAGTGTGCATGTGCAGTATCGCACCCTACCATGTGCTATGCTATGCCGGTACAACAACCCACCAGTCTACTCTGTTCCTGGCGTTCACGGTCACTTATAGCCCTATCGCACCAGCATCACCTTTCAAAAACACAAGTAAATCACATCCACAACGACTCAGTTTTTGTGATCTTGTATTTATTATCACGAAAAGCATAATATTTTGATCTAACTTTAACCCCTTCATATGGGAGCTGTCCACGGCCATGGCTATGTGTGAGGATTAGTGCATACCACACATACAGTCTATTCACCATGCAGCTGCTGGTTCGATGGGACCTGCTGCTGGACAGAGCTTTGCATACTGGGCATACCACAGCCCACCAGTCACTGTCAAAAAAATCCTGGCTTGAAGGGGTTAACAGGTAGGCCTATTCTGAATTTTTCACTAGCCCACCCGGCAACCAAGGAACCAAGTTTAGGTAGCCCGGAGCGTTTTTCGCTAGAATTTGTACGCTGGGCTCGTACTATTTCGAGGCCTGTGGGGGTCATAGGGCTCCTTATAATTTATGTCTAAATTGAAGGAAGACAAGCAACAGCTGTTTGGGTGCACAAAGCTGCTCAACAGGAACCATTCACTGTGCGACAGCGGGCTCACGTGCACTGGTACCCAACGGCCGTTGCTTGTGTTCCATCAATTTGGGCATAAATAATGAGGAGCCCTGTGATTGGTCAGTGTGACCCCAGCAAGCCGCAGCCAATTGCCATTTCAACCAGCGCGAATTGCACACACATGTACGGAAAGTGGCTGTAGCCACTTTCCATGTCTTGTAAAGTATTATCGATCGCAAACTTAGTCAACGATTTGGTTGCCGCTCGTCTCCGCAAGTACACATGTGAACTGCATGACTCTCAGACACTGGTCAGGAATTATTTGCACCTTTTTTTGGAAAACGACATGGTTTTGGTCCTTTTATTTCTTGGCACTCAAAACAAAGGTATGTAAGCTATCTTACATAAAACTCTCGGGGGAAATGAAGCAACATTTCTATGGTACACAACTCGAATGGAATTGCTGTTCATGCCCTGTTAAACATCATGCATAGCCTATGGCGAAAAAAGCTCTTTTTCTGTGCGGTTCGTGAGAGATGAGCGGACGTTGGACCCCACCGTTCTGGGGGTTGAATGAGAGGTGAGGATGGTAGAAAAAATCACATTTTTTTACAGTAAAATAGGTGAAATTCTACAAAACACGTACTAACCCGGTAGTTTGAATATGGGTCTAAAGGTAGAATATGGGTCTTTAGGGGATGATTAGCTTAAGCGAGCGGAAAAGGAAGTTGTATCTGGTACGATCACCTGACGTTTTCAGGCATGACAGGGCACTTTTCAAAATGCCATAATGTACGGAACCATCAAAAAGATTGCCCCGGTAAGGTCTACGGAGTACATGTAGTACCTTACCATTTAGGAATTAAGATAGGGTCGTGAAGAACATGTCCCTATGATGTAAACTTGAAATTAATAAGGTAAAACAAGAACAAATTAGAACCACATTTTGGTCATCTTGTCATGCTTGTACAGAACCTGGACGTAAGTCGTGATATACAATATGACGATTGGCGTCCAACCTGGGCTACTCAGTAGTCAGGTAATGGTATTGGCCCTAATAGTAATTAGTATAGTCTACAGCCGAACTGGCTGACTGGCACTGTGGCAGTGGTACTGACGGTTTCGAGTCAACTTGGACCCAAACCAACTCGGACCCATACCAACTCGGACCTANNNNTGACACTTTTGCACTGCATGCTGCCGAGATTTAATGTCCTCTCTACACATTATGCAGGGAAACAGTGGCACAGGCTTCCCAGAATTTCTCCGTTTTCGAGTTTGAACAGGCATGGTGGTTAAAAACCGTACAGGACTAGATTTGATATCAGTGATGTCTTGGAACAAGTGATAAGTAACCGATGAGCGTCGTATTTTTATGGAGGCACATTTCATTTGATGTCTTATTTGCCGCTTGTAATCTGGAATCTTAATCAGGTATTAGCTTCCAAGGTACCGGCGTGATTAACCACAAAGACTGATTTTGTCACCTTCCATTCTTGAAACCATATGATTGGGGAGTGGGAGCTTGGGACAACCAATGGGAGCAGCTTTTGGAGTGTGATTGACAGGGACCAAATCATTGACCCCTTTCTCCGAAGTTTTTCTGGCACTCCAGATCACCAGCAGAAATCGAATGAACTTTCACCAAACAGCCCCCAAAGTTTTTGTTTCAATAAAAAGCCAAAGATAGGCCCTTCTGATGTACATAAGAGATGCTGCATACGTACAACAGATACTGCAGATATACATCAATGTCACGAACATTGACCTTTTATAGTGTCTAATGGTGTTATCCCCAACCTCACTTTTCAATTTTTTTTGGGCCAGGCAAGTCTTACACCTCCACCTTGCCCCAACCCCCCCCCAATACCGGCAAGATTTAGGCAGATGGAGGAATTCATCTATACAGGCCTTAACTGACTGTCCAAATAACACAAATAGGTTGGTAATTTCCAACAACACAAATCAAATCATTTTAAAATAAAAATGTGGAATATTTCCTATTGGCTTAAACTTGAAGATGGTTTTGAAGCATCGTATGTCTGCTCGCGAGCTCATTATTATTATTTTGTGATCCCACGGTTTCTTATTTTCTACAATAAGACGTGCCATAATCCGGAGGGATCATAGAATTATTTATATAAATCCCAAATTTGGGATCGATAGTTTCCGGTTCAGAGTAATTCTTTCACAAAAAGCCCCNTATCTTCGGGAAAAGGCGAATAAAAAAGTTCATAAAATTGAAACGAAAAGTGATCAATCTGGCCATAATCTTGAATTTCAAGTGGAAAAAAAAATTATCTTGAATTTCCAGCAAAAAAAATGAAGGCCCACCTCTTCGCGAGGTTCAAGAGTCGGCGCTATTTCGGTCTACGGGCGCGTATTTGGTGTAACGCAACCATAAGACTCAGTGGGTCTGCGTTGACTCGAGGTGGGTCCGAAATGGCGTGGGTCTGAATTGGCGTGGGTCTGAGTTGGTTGTGGGTCCGAAATGGTCGTGGGGCCGAGTTAGAATTGGGTCCGAGTTGGCGTGGGTCCGAGTTGGTCCTGGGTCCGAGTTGGTTTGGGTCCGAGTTGGCCTGATCCCGTACTGACTGTGGCGTGGACCTGCGGTCAAAAGGCCAAGATGGACGAACGCGTGGACCAAATTATGCTTACCTGGAAGTTGGCTTAACGATTGTCTCTATACCAACACAAGTTCCGGTAGTTGTCATTTTGGACAAAAACTTGTTGAAAATTGATTCAACAGTAAGATTTGTTGTACAAAGCAGCACTTCTCTTTCTCTTAAATTGTATATTAATTGGAAAAGCAACCGTCTCTTACAAACTCGACGTCTCCTTTCGCCGAATGCAGCAAGCATGCAGTCTAGCAAGCTAGCACGTCATTGAACCAGTCTGGTGACTCTTCGTTCAATGTTCAGCGTATATGCATATGTGAAACGAAGTGAAGTACAGGTGCTGTGTAAAGTCGAACGCTCACTCAATGCGCGCATGCGCAGCGAGCCGTTGCATCTTTATTTGTGTAGATCTTTTGCTTTACTGATCTAATTAACAAAGAAGCCTCAAGTGTTAAAGCTAAGTCCGGGGTCGTCTGTTGTCTGCTGTACCTTACGGTATTAAATTAGGATACTGTAATCCAATCACATTGTTGGATTTACGTTTTGTAGTTACACTTCTAACCAATTGTAACAGCCCCTTGAAATTACGTCATTGGGGCTGAAAGTAGTGCACATTTCATGGATTTCCTATTTTTGCAATCAAAATCTAATGATACTTAAATTAAAAAATCAATTACATTCCCCCACTTCTTAAAGTCAATAAGGCTTATCTCTTTCAACGCAGTATTTTGAAAATCCAAAACCGTAAACATATTCCCCGCGGAGAAATACAATTGGAGCAGGGGTGTAGATGGAACATATTATTATATGTTTCTCTATGGAATGAACTGGATTCCGGGTAGTTAACCGTCTCATTATGCATTCATTACGCTTCCGAAGTTCTCTGCAAGAGGAGTGAACGGACGATCGAGCTCTTCGTTCATTGCGCGGCCGAGTAAAAATTCCGGCATTTGGATAAATTGACTTAATGCGCAAATTGAACAAGTCAGACAGATATCCGTCTGTCAGCGTACGTGAGGAGACTTTTTCGCGAAACGGAGACAGAACTGTTGTTTTCTCAATTTGTTTGCATGCAAGGAAAAGTGAGGTCTCGTAGTTGAATGCACCGCAGGCCTCTCCTACCGCTTGACATACTTGAGGAGCCGCACTCTGCTGACCAAGACTATGAAGTCTTCAACATGGGCAAGCTTTCAATTAAGAGTTTTTAATGGTCAAGCTATGGATTATAGTCTTCTGAACTTTTGTTCAAGCCTTGTGAGAACCGGACGGTAGTCCCACCAAAGTTGTGTGGTTGTGAACTTGTGTTGTCGAATGATCTGAAAGATGATTTTGGATATATTATCAGGAAGACTTTTGAAGCTTCAAGGACAAGAAGTTGGTGAGGTTGTCATTGGTAATTCTTTAAACAACAATCGTGTGAGGTAAGTGACATTTCAGACATCTGTAGGTGTTATCCATTTTATGAACGGGCGGACGAAAGTTAAAAATAAAACCTACTGAAATCCCCAACCTGCCAACTTTTGTCTTACAAACACGATTCAGAATTCATCGTTTAATGTATCGACGAATACACAGTGTATGGTATCTCCGGAGTGTTAGTCGTAAACATGTTGCTGAAGTCGGTTCTATTGGCTGTAGCAGTTTGCGTGTGAATAAAAGACAGACATGCATATGTCCACTTTGCGTCAGTTTGGCCGCTCAGTTACAAAGTGCATTTTCGTCTGCATGTTTTATTAATGGTTGTACAGAATTTTTAGTGACTTTTTGCAGGCGATTGGCCCAAACTTCCATGGACCAATTAAATTTCGTCTTGCCTGTGGATTTGCATTTGAATTAAGCCGAACAAAGACAAGTTGTTCTTTAAGTTAACTCGCTCGCGTGACAGTGGGTGTGGATATTGCAGTAGACATGTAATGTCCAAGGACCAATTACATTCGTCGGGTTGTTATAATTTGCATATGAAATTAACAGTTAGTCACTGCATGGTTGCAGTTGCAGGCACCAAGTGCCAAGTGTCAAAGAGCCAATCCAATCGGTAGTTCGCAATTTGCTTAAAAAGAGACAACGCGTGCCATGGTGCCACATGAAAGTCACTCGCTGTAGTGTAGCACGAGGCCTGCGTACTGATGTGCGCATTCATCTACATGTACGCCCATGTACAACTTGAACAATAGAAAGCTTGTATGTAGCCAAGTCATATAGCCAAGATGACTTGGCTACATAACTTGTAGCCAAGTTGAATGCGGCCGAACACTTTTGGACCTTTGACATTATGAGACCTAGAAATACTTTTGATTCACATCTGTCTCATTTTAGGGTGAATTCAGTTTAAATTTATTTGTTCCTCTTTAGGTTTCAGTATTTGGGATGACTATATAAAAACATTGTAAGGAAAACGATATTATGGATCAGATGAATTTCTCTAAAGCATAATTTCGTTTAATAATTGTTAAGTCAACTGTCAGCAGTTGGCAAAAGTGATATATTCTGTACTTGAGTCTTGGCTATTTCTTGCGTAAGCTTGTTTCATTTAAGATGAAAAACAAATGTATTGATGTGCTACTGTTATGACAAGGACAGGCGTGTTTTTCCGGTCACGTACAGTGCAGTGCTTCCCATGCTAATTTGGGTTGAATATATGTAAGCCCAATCAAGAAAGATTTGCAAAGGTTCTCACTATGCCGATCATTCGCCAGGCTTGAGGAAAGACAGTGGATTACAAACTTGCTATAAATGTTTATACTGAAAAAGATACGTGAATTACAGGACCAATTAGAATGAATTTCTTTTCTATGAAAACAAGAAAGATGTTGCCAACAAATGAATGTATTATGTGCAAGACACCTAAGGTTTTCCTTGCAAACATGGCTTAATATCAGGCACATCAGTGCTCTTGTTTAACCAAAACTAAATTGATACTGACTGTATGTCATATGCCTGCTTTAATCATGTCCATCATAAACATTTGGATATTGTTATGAATTAATAGATTTTCAGACATTGGCAAAAGTGACCTTTTCTTTGGTTTGGGATATTATGTATTCCACATGTAAAGATGGAAATTTTAACGACATGGCCTAGCAATAATATTTAATACATTTATTTTGTTTAAAGGAATTGACTTCAAAATATAGTTACCAATACAAGACGTGACTTGTAATGGCTCAAAATGTACATTTGGCATCAAGCATGGTGCACATCAAGTGCCTCTATCTTACCGCTGCACCTGTAATAAACCTCACCTTGAACTAATTTAATTGTGAGTCGTGTGACTTTATTTTATCACATGTAGCATACATATCTCCAATGCATTTTACTGGAATTTTTCTTCAAGTCCAGTTGCTAGCAATTGGCAAAAGTAACAGTTTTCAAACTGTTTCCCACACTAAAACCAATCAGTAGAGATTGGCAAAGTTGAAGGAATTCAACAATTTCATTTATTGATCGCTATTCTTGGGGGGGGGCCTGGCCCTGTACTTGTTGACGTCCAGGGCCTAGTTTGAAATTAAATGTTTTTCTCCAACAAAGAAATGTGTACAGAAACTGCTGTAGTTCTGCTGCTACCATGCACTATTAGGTTTTTGTCTCTGTCATATTGATTTGCTTGAACACACTCGCAATAATAATAAATCAAATGGCATACTTTATTCAAATGTAAGTCATTTACCTCTTTTATTACAAGCACACCATGAATTTCTGATATATAAATTTAAAAGTATTTTTAGTGGGATATTATGTATTTCACATGTAAAGTTTGAAAATTTGACTACATGTACATGGCCAAGCAATATATTTACTGCATTTATTTTGTTTCAAAGAATTGACTTCAGAGGAGTTATCAATGTGAGACATATGACTAACTAGCTGTCACCGTGACATGCAATGGAGTTATTACCACACTTATTTTGATCAACTAGCTGTAAGCCTAATGAGTGAAGATTGGCCAAAATGAACTTTTTAATTTAAGATATTCTGTGTACTAACCAAACACTGGAAAGGGCAAGAGTTTTTAATACCCTAAATATGTTGATGCCCATGTCTAGTGATGAATGAAGCATGTTCTCCAAATAAATTTGTCGTGTACAGAACCAACTGGTCGATGATGCATCAATGTGCCATTAAAGGTTTCATCTATCACCTTGTGCACTAGCAGTAATTGAAACTTAAGTCACATTACTTTTTATCATGCATCACAACTTTCTACTCTCTATACTTGTTCTATGATTGTAGGTTAAATCAGCTCAGTGAAGTGACTGAAAATAAACACCTGTTATAGAATGTAACCTCCATTTGCAAATACAGTGTCTACAATTCTGAAAATGTCTAGCGTAAGAGATTTAGTCAAGTATGATGTTGCTGTCACTTCTTGACATTCCCTACTGTGCAGCTGAACATTATAATTTTGTGAGAAAATGTTGTCACATGTAGGACCTGCACTAAAGCCTGCATATCATGCTTTAAGATTGGACAAGCAAGTGCTTCATTTGTTGTACCCGTGTTTCTGCTGAGCGGTGCTTCACACACGCAGAAGAGTCATTTTAAGCATTTGAAACCTTAATGTAGGAAACATTGCTAGCCACTGTATGTCAGCTTGGCTCAGTCGATCTAAAGCTATTTCCACTGGTCACGAGTAATAGTGGATTCATTCATTGTGGTGAGGTAGAAACTAGAATTAGAATAGAAAATAAAATGGTCTTCATACCACCTTTTTCTTTTAATACTACATGTATCTATTTCATTTCTTGTATGTCAGATTATCACTGATTATTTACTTGTTATCTTGTTAATTTATTTCTTCCATGCAACAGCTGAGGGAAATGTCTCTTTCATTTGTTGAAAAGTTACGTGTTTGACTGGATAATATATATACCCTGATTGGGAGACATTATCAAGACACTGTGTCAGAGGATGCCACCCTGTCTTTGGTAGAGCCACTCATGTCGGAATAAGGCAAAAACATCACCAGTCTTCCTCTTCTTGTTCCTTTTTTATGTTTCTGGTCTTGACCATATACCTCTACAATCCCAAAAGCTTGCCTTTTCACTCATTGCAATTTTATCTGACTTGTAATGGCTCGAAATGTACATTTGGCATCAAGCATGGTGCACATCAAGTGCCTCTATCTTACCGCTGCACCTGAAATAAACCTCACCTTGAACTAATTTAGCTGTGAGTCACGTGACTTTATCATATCACATGTCGCATACATCTCTCCAATGCATTTTTCTGGAATTTTTCTTCAAGTCCAATTGCCAGCGATTGGCAAAAGTAACAGAGTTTTCAAACTATTTCCGACACTAAG